ACCGTAGTTGGCATTAATATCGTTTTCTCTCTACAGCTGTCGCAAGTACGGCTGTCTGCTCTCGCTCTTGTATTCAACACTGTACACCTATCAGTCTGTGCCGAGACTAATAAAGCGTGCCGCTCCGGTATATTAATTAATCGGGCTGCCAGCAACTCACTAATTAGTGTGTTATAACTAGCAGTCTATTTGACTCCAACGTTCCACCGTGGATGTCCACCTCAGAGTAGCACACCTAGCATCTTTTGCAGCTGCCGCTCACCAGACTGATATTCCCGGTTCCTTTCAGCGCTGGCTCTACAACCATTTTCTAAATAAAGCCGTAGTATTCAAGCCCTTCTCGCTCCTGTTATTATTGTTGAAGCCCTATCAGCGGGCAGTTTCTTCCTCATAATTAACCCGACCCCCAGCATCACCCTTCTCTCTTTGTCCCAATGTATATGTCGCTATCTTTTTCCGCTATTCCAGGTCCCTTTAGGGCTGGCTTTGCAACCGTAATAGTAGTAGTATATAAATCCCGTTCTCGTCATAACATTGACACTCCGTCTCATACCTTCACCCAGCTGTTTAGCATCCGATTACTGAGCATCTTATGTTATTATTTTCATGGGTCTCAAACCCGGCATAGTAACTTCACTTGCTCTCATACGTGTTCGAACGGTAAGCTCTACCACTGTCAACTGATCGCTGAATCTATATCTTAAGCGCAAGTTAAACCAATCACCATGTTCTTCTGATTCCCATAGCTCGTTTACCGCTTAACAACGCCTAATACTCACGGTTTCCACACAAGACAACTTTTGCGCACGCCAGACCAATTCGGACAGCATTTTTATTTCACGTTCAGCAAATATCGGGTCGCGTGTTTGCAAGCAACACTACGGACATAATGTATAACATATCCGGGCACTCCATTGCTTTCAACCAGCACAACTGCCATTAATTTTATATTTATACATTAACATAGTCCTGTTCAATTTCCTTGGCCATCTGCTCAGTCGGTTTTTTCTCTCCCTTGTTCTAAATGATAACATTACTTGCGCGGGACACCGCTGAGGACACACTTGCGACTCGTGGTGCCAGCTAGGTGGTTCAGGCTTTTCCCGTTCCAGCAAACGGATCGGCGGCAGTGTTCCAGGATGTGGTGGGATTTCGCCTGACAAGCGTTCTCCCTATAAAAAGCCACAAATATCCGTTTAACAACACTGTGACGTGGCGGATGTGACTCGCCACTAAATAAAGTCACTGCCTCTTCCCTTTTCCAGAGGATCATTCACACATCACGAACGTCATCTGATTCAAAGCGTTCCATTGATTCCCCATTTGATGGCGAACACAACGAACCAAAGCACACACAGTTACATTTACTTACTCTCACAACATGTCCCCTTACAAATACACAGTTAACAATCGTTTTACATCTCAACACACACATAAATTCCCATGCTATTGGTCAAAATGTACTAATTTGTGCAATTGCTGATCACACATGTCTGTAATACCATGATCACGCCCTTGATGTTGTGCCTCGCAGTGACGAGAATAAAATATTTATTTATTTAAGAAAGCACCCGCACTTCGCAATCCTGACACAATACAGGAACCCACAAAACTACTCAAATCAATACAAGACACCTGAGTCGTCCGACTTCACCAGCTCCAAGCACTTGCGGTCGACTCCGAAGGAGACTACACAACCATGGGAAACAAGTTGGCTAAACGTGGCTGTGAATATCCGCGAAGGTAATCGGTCAGATGCAATCTTTTCATGTAATATCACCAGTCGGCAGTGTTCCAGGACTGGGTGGATCTTCGGATGGCAAGCGTTATCCCTACAAAAAGCTACAAATGTTTGTTTAACTACACTGCGACTTGGCGGATGTGACCCGCCACTCAATAAAGCCATCGACCCTAACACACATTGGCAAGTTGACGGATACCACATTTACAAATTCTGTGCATATATTTGCTCTCGTAAGAACACGCCTACATATAGGATTAGTGACATGCCACTATCCTTAAATAGTCCTGCAGCTTTTTCCTCATACTTCACTCACCTGACCCACACTGTTTACACAACCTCAACGGACTAGTTCCTCATCAACATACACCACGTTAGTGATATGATTCTTAGCTCTCCATCGCGCCTTCTGTGGACATCGACTTCGTACAACCTTTGGGCTGTATGGGCTCACACCACTGTCTCCAACTGTAGTACTCCCGCTCTTGGTGCTGGTAGCACGTACCATATGGCAATATGCTGATCATGCCCAAAAGATGTGCCTCGCTTTGTCAATAATAAAATATTTATTTATTTATTTATTACCTACGGCTGTCCTCTAGGAGCCAGTGAGCATGTCTGCATATCCTTTCGATGTGCTCTAAGTAAGTGTCTGCAACCTACCGCTGAGGCATGTCCAATTATTTAGTGGGCAGACGTTGACTCAAGGCGAGAAAAAGCCTCGGTTCTGCGTTGCGCGATCACCTTGGTTGACACCGTTGAGAGTCTGGGAGAAATTTAAGGCCTACCTCACCGAGATGTCTGCTCCCCACATCCCAATCATTAAGAGACGGGTGAACCCGGGCGCAGCCTCCATGGATAGATCATAAAGGTAAATACCAGCTCAGGCAGCCCGCTAAGTACTGGCGAACTTACCAAGCAGCGTCATCAACTAGCACCTGCGAAAGCTATCGAGACGTCGGAAATAAATTTAAGTAACATCTTAGGACTCTTTGTCTTCAGTACGAGGTGGAGTTGGCTAACTCAGCCGTAACTAATCCAAACTTCTTTGCTCACGTAAAGAGACAGCGGTACAAACGCGTCTATACCGGCTTTAATACGGACGGACGGGACCCGTGGACATACCGACTACGATTATGCTTGTATACTTAGTAAACAGTCTGCTCGTGTCTTTTCTCGCGTGGATTCGCTACCTCAGGTTGGGCTGGTCACGAAAGTCCCATAGGATTCTCGCCTAACTGAAATCAGTATAAAGGCGATACAAGTCTTCAGGCTATTGCGAGGGCTAAATCCTTCCAAAGCTTCTGGCCCTGATTCAATTCATCCGAAGCTGATACATGAATTGGCCGCTGAGCTAAGTGGCCTTCTGGCATGCATGTTTACAATATCACTCGAAGGTTGTGCCTTACTTTCTGAATGGAAGAAGGCAAACACGTTTCCGATATTTAATGGCGGTGACAGAGCTCTGCCTGCGAACTACCGGCCTGTCAGCTTAACAAGCGTAGTAGTTAAGCTGTTTGAAAAGTTGGTCAGGGATTCGGTGTAGACTCATCTGATAAAGTTTAATATTCTCGGTGCGGCACAGCATGGATTCCTTAAGAGATTTTGTTGTCAGACAAATTTACTTGTACCTCGTGAAAGATGGGCTGAGGCAATAGACAACGGTCAAGCTATCGATGTGCTTTTCGTTGACTTCTCGAAAGCCTCTGATGCTGTCCCATATCCGACTCATTGAAGTTGAGATCGTTTGGGGCATCTGGAGCCGCCCTTAAATGGGTCTGCTTTCCTGGAGGGTAGAGAACAGTGTGTACCTTTGTGCCATAGCCTTTCACTTATACATGCTGTTCTTAGTGGCGTTCCGCAGGGCTCGATTTTAGGGCCGTCGCTTTTCTCAATTTATGTCAATGACCTAGCCCAGAAGCTTGAAGTACCATTGCTATTGTTTGCTAATGACCACAAGCTCTGGAAACTTGTGCTTATCTCTGGTGTCTCTAAAGCACTTCAGAGTGTCTTGGATAGGCTCTGAGGTTGGTCAACCTTACGGTGGAGGCTTATAAACCAGGCGAAAGGTTCTGTCCTTCGCATTGGAGCTGTCAGTCCTTCCACGGGCTACGTAATTGGTGGAACTGAACTTCCTGTTGTCACTCAGCAGGTTGATCTAGGTATCGTCCACACCTCTTTAATTCACTCTGGGGACAATTGGAGGAAGACTGGTTGTAGAGCTTTCCGTGGGATGTGGTTTATTCGCCGCTCCTTCGGTGTTCCAACGGCCAATATTTGTGTGAAGCTGTTCTCAGCTTTCGTTCGACCCCCCATAGAATAATTTATCCAGCTTGTCCACGTTGTCTTGTAAGGGACAAAATGGAACTGAAGATGGTTTTGCGAGTGGGTACCAAGTTGATGCAAGGATTAAAGGGGCAAACATATCCCGAACGTTTGCCTAGCTTGCACTACCGCAGATTTAGAGGAGACTTGATCCTCACTTACCGTAGCTTAAGGGGTAAGATCGGTCCAGACTTGTCCTGGCTATTTAGTCACGCCAAGCTGCCTAACCTCCAAAGACAGACGTTGAAGATTCACAAACTGCGTTCTGACCGGGTAAGCATGGAAACTCGCTTTGTCGCGCCGAGTTATTGAATGCTGGAACTCGATTCCGGAGCACGCCGTTAGGAAGTCTACGGTAGATGGTTTCGAGCGTCAGTTAAATGCGCTTAGGTGGTAGTACCAAACATTCCTCTTCGCCTAACCCACTTGTGTCCTCAATTTCCCTTCGTACTTTTTATTTTTTTCTCACACATTGGTATTATCATTATCTAACTGACATACCTCCTCTTGTTTTCTTAGCTTACCCTCCACTCTTTTACTTCACATAAACTGGCAGGGACAGTTGGGAAGGAAAATGTGGGCAGTAATTGGTTGGAAAGGTTTTGATGCGGTCTGTTTTAGGCTTTTCAACATCTCAAGCAGATCTATAAATTCCCGGTCCGACGACAAGCAAAAGAATGAACATTCACGGGATTATCCTATCGTTCCGGTTCCAACTGAACTTGAACTTGAAGTTGATACAGGTGGTAGAAGATTTGTTCACTACTCGGGAGTCCGACGAACTGACTATACCGAAGCAACACAGTTACAACTATTGTTATCAAGCTATAAATTTAGTTGGTTTGCAAGTTACAGCGTACATCTTAGCTACGGAAAATTTCCAATTATGCAAAGGATAACCGTCGATTTACTCAAGATATCCGACGCGCCGTCTGGACCAAAGCAACGCAGCCAGCAACCTGTATGTTAGTCATACGCGAATGCAGCACTTCCATAATCCCTCGGTTGCTTATCTTTAGTCGGTCGCTGTGACGCGAGTCCCCATCGCTGGTATGCTCTTGTTTGTGCGTTCTGACACTAAGGTACATATCTTTTGGCATACAGCGTTCTTACTTTCGTGCGCATTTGTGGGTAAGTTATTTACTCAGATGGATGAGACATACGATGTCATTGTACTCGGAACTGGTCTCACCGTAAGTTTAACTTCGCTTCCTTTGCTCTAATTCTTGCCAGGAGTGCATTCTCAGTGGCCTGATGTCCATTAGTAATAAGAAGGTGTTACATATGGACCGCAATAAATATTATGGCGGGGCTAGCACATCATTGTCTCTTGATGATCTTTTTAAGAGATTCGGAGTTACTTGTTCTCTCGACGCATACGGTCGTGTGAAAGATTGGAACGTGGATTTAATTCCTAAATTTCTCATGGCAAATGGTTGTTCTTCATATTCTTTTATTTTTGTCTAGGAAAGCTCGTTTCCCTGCTAGTTCATACTGGCGTTACTCGTTATTTGGAGTTTAAAAGTATCGAAGGAAGCTATGTCTTTCACAAAAGCAAGATCCATAAGGTCCCCAGTAATCAAAAAGAAGCCCTTTCAACAAGTGTGTTTTTTTAATGACGAGGATGCAGTAAGTGCAATTCAGGCCTGGTCGGTATGTTGGAGAAACGGAAGCTTGCCAAGATGCTTAAATGGGCCGTTGACGTTAACGAGGCCGATCCTTCAACTTGGATGGGGTGTTATGCCCCTCCGATGGATATAAGGAAGAACAGCATCCAACAAGCCTTTGATTACTTCGGTATTGACAAAAATACCCAAGTTAGTACATTCGTCACCAACGCATGAGTGCAACATTGATGCTCCTCGTACTCTTCATTTTTCACCTGTTATTTCGGTGCATAATGATTACCATTCCCAGCTACTTACCACATACAGTAGACGTTAATTTTGCGGAATTTAGCTATATACTATAAGATCGCTGATTTGTGGGTCAGGCTATTGAGTCAAAGGCTCTGGGTAGAGTCTCTTAAGCGAACCTCCAGATCACCCACTGTCTTGTGGGTCAGACTATTGAGCCAAAGGCTCCGCGCGGAGTCACTTAAGCAAACCTCAGAAGCACAACCACCACGCGTGCTATTCCCCACCAATACAATCGTCTGTCTCCGCGCAAAGCACTCAACGTCGAGTGCTGGAACGTGCGCACACTACTGGATCGGAACTCGAGTGAACGCCCCCGAACTACACACTGCACTGGTCGTGATGGAACTGGCGTGTTACAGCATCGATATTGCAGCGCTGAGCAAGACCCGGCTCGCTGAGCAAGGTAAGTTGCATGAAGCTGGTGCAGACTATACGTTCTACTGGGTGAGCAACGCCACCTCAGCACCATGTAAACTTGGGGTCGGATTTGCACTATCCGGTCACCTAAATAGCCAGCTGGTGGGTGGGCGGACTAGCATCAGCACTGGACTGCTGACTGCTCGCCTTCGAATCGGAAGAGATATGTTTACCATGTATTATCCTGATGACACGCGTGCTCAATTTTACACTCTGCTATCCTCCGTGATACGGCCTCTACCGAACAGTAACGGACTATTACTGCTGCGTGATTTTAACCCGCACGTTGGGCGTGATGCATCGGTGTGGACAGATGTCATCGGTCCACATGGCATTGGTACAGCGAAGGTCAACAATGACAGGCTGCTCTCACTATGTGACACTCACGGCCTGACGATCACGAACACTCGGTTTGCACTGAATCTACGTGATATAGCAACTTGGACGCACCCACTGAGTGGTCACGCTCATCTGCTCAGTTATGTCATCATACGTCAGCGTGACATGCGTGAACTGCACATAACCCGTACTGCGTGGAGCTGAGTGTGGTACTGATCACAAGTTGGTGCAGACCAAACTGTACATATATTTCCATAAATCTAATTATTGCACTCCGGCAGAAATATAGCGTTCCTTTCCTACTTACTTTAGAGTAGAGGATGAATCGGGGAGTGCGATGGCTGCACGCATGTATGATGTAGAATGCATAGCTACAGTGGGCGACCTGTGGCAACACATTCGCGACCAGGTGACGGCTGCTGCCGAAAATAGCATCTGGAGCGCAAACTGTAAGCGGCCCGTTTGGTTTGATGAGTACAATGCGACGATTGGCGCATTGGTGTCGGAGAAGAATGCAGCATTTACTGCACATGTGGCACACCCCATTGACTTGGGGAAAAAAGATCAGTTTCGCGAAATTCGACCTCAACTGACCCGAGAGCTCCGTTGCAGTAAAATGCGTGGTGGACGGAAAAGGCGAAGCAGATGAAATGCTACGCCGAACGCTGCCAACACAAGTTCTTTGACTCTGAAGACGGTGTATGGACCGAGGTTGGATCCGCTGATGACGCTGCTCGATGGTAATTCAGGCGTTGCCTGCACACAGACTGCATAAATAATGTAGGTCTGGGGAAATCACTATGACTGTTTCTTGAGTAACCGTTCAGAGACCTATTGGCCTAGCTTGAACAGTCTGAAGCAGCACGAGGTATAGATGAGTCTGGCAGACATACCATCAGTGGATGAAACGCAGAGAGTACTTGTTTAGTTGCGTACTGACAAGTGTGCCGGTGCCCACGGGATCCCGCCCGAACTATTTCAACACAGCGGACTCGCGTTGGTGAATGCGCTGCACTACTTGGTGCAACGCGTGTTTATTGGGGAGGTGGTGCCTCCTGAACTGAGGGACGCCCTTGTGCTCCCAGTGTACAGTGGCAAAAGAAGTAGGCAATCTGCCATCAATCATCGTGGTGTCGACTTACCGAGTTTTATGAACAAGGTGATTGCCCGAATCCTGCTCAACCGTTTCGTCAGCCAAGTTTTGGTACCTAACGTGGCGGAAGGGCAATGTAAATTCCCTACGGGTTGCAGCACCATTGATGTGGTGTTTTGCGGCTCGTCAGTTGCAAGAGCTGCAAAGAGCGACACCAACCGTTGTACTCGCTTTTTGTTGCTTTCACCAAGACTTTTGATACGGTGAATCGCGAGGCACCGTGACTGATGTGGGGTAAGTTTGCTTGCCCGCGTAAGTTTGTAAGTTTATTCGAATGTCTGCACAGTGGTATGCGGGCGAGGGTGCCGCTGAGTGGATAAACCTCTGATGACATTGCAGTTGTCTCTAGTGTGGAGCAAGGCTGTGTCTTAGCTCCTGCTCTGTTTAATATGTATCTTCATGCCATGACGTCTTGTACTTGATACTGCTTGTGATTACGATGTCTGTGTGGAGCACCGTATTACTGGTGGCTTGCTGAACATCCGTCGTTTCGAGGCGAGAACCCGAGTGTGTGACAGCTATCCAAACGTTGCTGTTTGCTGACCTCTGTGCGTTGTTTGGGCACAGTGCGGATGAGTTGCAGCACATGACTAATGCTCTGGCTTCTACAGCGGCAAGATTCGGGCTCACCATCAGCATTATTTTTTCTAACCTTCACCCGGAATGGAGTCCGTGGCCTTACCCCAAATCTAGGTTGCCGACGAAGTGTTGGAAACTGCTGCAAGATTTTGCTACGGAACTGCAGATGACGAGCGAGCTGCGCAGCCGCGTATCCAGGCGGCTGCTGCATTTAGCAAGCTGGATTGTCGTATGTGGAACAATCACCAACTCACTGTCTGGACGAAGCTGCAGATATACGAATCGATAGTACTGTCCGTTCTTCTATACGGCAACAAAACCTGGATGCTTTATCCGAAGGATGTCCGTTATCTGGAGCGCTTCTGTCAACAGTGTCTGCACCGTAATATACGCATCGGCTGAAGTGACCGAGTTGCAGACACCGACGTGCTCCGACGCAGTGGCATGTATACGGTAGACCGCATAATACTGCTGAGGCAGCTCGGTCATCAGTGCTGCATGGATTCGACGCACATACCGAAACAGCTGTTGTATGACCAGCTGAGTGTGGGGAAGCGGCCTAGTGAGCCACGAGCGATGCCACTCGGTTTCAGCATCGAAACGACGATGGGTTCTGCTGAGAACGTGAGCGGAGCCGGTGCAGTTTTGAATTGCAAGATACCCAACACGCATGCAAACATATAGATCAAATGCAGCGATGATGTAGCACACGCACATCGATCATATAAATGACCTGGATTAATAAATTGATTCGGAGGCAGCGTACTTACCGTGCGCTGCGCTGATGATGATTAGATACTTAGCTTACTCGTCTTCTCTTAAACGTTGGCGTCACCTGGTCACTCTGATGGTTTGGCTGAGGCACTCGCGATCGCATGTGCTGAACCTCGATAGGCTAGAATCCATCGGCGACTTCCGCTTCGTCAACCGACATTTCTCTTCCGCATACAACAATGCTTTCTCCTGCACCTGAACAACGGCTCACTTGATATGCTCGCGCCATTGGCGCCGATTAACTGCATTTGATTCCTGAAACCAGCATTAGTTCGTGATATACACACATTGATCGTGTCTTGCTAATGTAACTTCGCTTTTCCCACGTGCTTGCCGGTCCTTAGCCTAGAGGTAGCCAGCTTGTCTCTTAATCTCGCGACGCGGGTTCAAGCCTGCGTAGGGGCAGGGCGACCCTCGCACTATCCTTAGCCCGCATGCAACCGGTGGTGGTTGCGTGGCAGCGAAGCCTCATTACTGCGTACCGGCGTACTGCTGATACCTTCCCTGCACTAAGTTGTCCACATAAGAACTGCTTGGGTATCCGGGTCAAATCCATGTGATTGATATGACTGATCCACCTTGGGTGCCGCAGCAGAAGTATGCAATCCAATGCATGCATACTACTGCGGCACAGCACTTCCGTGTCAAAAGCTGGGTGGCACCAGCCGACGCAGGCACTGTTCAGTTCAGTTCAGTTCAGATGGGGACTGGAACGATAGGAAAATCCCGTGAGTGTTCCATCTTGAGTGGATCGTTGAGCCAGGAATTGATGAAGTGCTCAGTTATTGATGGATCTAAAACGGAAACACCCGTATCGCACCCTGGCCAACCAGTTAATGCCCACGTTTCCTGCCCTAGCAGTCCCTGCTGTGGCAGTCACGTGAAGTAAGCAAAGGATAGGAAGAGAAATCGAAGGTACAGAATAGGGAAGTGCACTTAAATAAGAAAATAATACCAATACGTGAAGAAAAGTAGAGAAAAGAAAATCGAAGTACGAAGATGTGAGTTACTCAGGAAAATGGAAAGGTTTCGTGTTGCCACCCAAGAGCGTCAAGTTGCCGCTCAAACCCCTTAACCGTAGATTCCCTGATAACACTTTCCGGAAGCATGTTCCAGCGGTCGATAACTCGGCGTGACAGCCGGATTTCCGCCCTAATCCGATCGGACCGCGGTTTGTCCAGCTTCAACGAATGACCGCGTAGAACAGACAATCTAGCGGGACTGAATAGCCAAGACAAATCTGGACCAACCTTCCCAGTCAAGATACGGTAGGTTAGGATTAGGTCTCCTCTAAGCCTTCGGTAGTGCATTGAATGCATTCCCAAACTAAGTAGACGCTCGGGGTACGTCCGTCCCCGTAATCCCTCGACTAACCTAGTACCCACTCGTAAAACCCTCTCTAGCTCCATTTTGTCCCGGACGAGGCAGGGCGGACAAGCCTGGACGCAGTATTCCAGATGAGGGCGAACGAAAGCCGAGAACAGCCTCGTAAAGATGCCGCCCGTCAAGACTCCGAAAGAACGTCGGATTAACCACAACATGCGTAAACCTCTGCTTGCGGCCTTCTTCCAGTTGTCGCCGGAGTGTAACGCCGAAGAGTGTACGACGCCTAGGTCAACCTGGCTAGATACACGGGGGAGTTCGACCCCACCGACCAAGTACT